CAATCTATAGCTTCGCAATACACATATCTATATATTCATATATATCTATTGAAAATAAATTTTATTTCGTTATCTTTTCTAAAGAAAAGCTAGTAACATTTTTTACTTTGATTTTTATATATAGTCGTTTTACATGGCACAAAAAATTTCTCTCGATACAAATAGAATTTATTTATTTTACAATATCTACTTCAACTTTAATCAGGCTGGATACTGATAGCTATTTTATTGGAGAATAGTAGCAAATAAGATACTAAAAACATCCACCTCAATTAAAATATTAGGTAGGCTGGATACGTGCATCTTCTCAATTATATAAGAAGTGGCGAGTAGGATGTATTTATATTAATAGAATAAAATTACAACTGAAAAATATTCGATTATCAAACTAACCATATAATGCAATTTTATCCTAGCCTATATCATGGAACCCAATCTAATATTAGCTCTAGTACCGGTTTTTTGCTTAATAGAAAGTAGATTGATTTATCAAAAATAAACGGACATTTCTTTGCATTGAGAACTAGTAAATTAGAACAGTGGTGTGCAATTTCATATATCGTTTTATCGGTGATATAAATATATTAAAAACTAAGATTCTGAATGTCTGAACATGAATGAACTATATTATATACAGCATCATCCATAATTTTATAACATGAAATAAGACTAATATTTTGTAGGTTTTTATTTAAATCTGCAATTTTTTTGATTAATTTGTCAGTAATCTGTTCACAGCTTTCGAGAAAATAATTTCGCATATCTGGACAGCTAGTTGCAATCACGCATATAGCTTCATCTGTAATTATTTTATTGAACGACAAATCCAGGTGTTGAAGATTTACACATGAGCGTGCAATTGCACAAATTGATTCATCATTAATAGAAGGTTGTTCATTAAGATTTAAATATACTAGATTAGAACAAGATCATGCCATTTCAATCACAGATGTACTGGAAATATTTCTATCTCTATACAAAGAAGCAAGACTTATGTATTTTAAATTTGAACAAGATTGTGCTATTTCACTAACGCATCTATCAGTAATAGCTATACATACATCAAGACTCAAATATAGTAGCTTCAGACAATATTTTGCAATTTCTATAATTGGTATATTACTAAAACCATGACTTCGATCAAGGATGAGAAAGTTTATATCTGGATGTGAATGTAGAATTGCACTGAGTAATTCATCTGAGATTTTTAAACCCGCTAATTTGAGATATACCATCTTTGAGCAATATGAAAGTTTTGTCTTTCTGCACATAACTCTTTTAAACTTTCTTAATTGCCAATAAAGAGGTCCAGACGTATCTTTACTATACCGATTCTGCTGATAACCTTCTATAGAAAACTCAATGTGTCTCTATAGAATCGGGGCACTGCAGTGATACCAAAGTCTATTGACAAATAATGCTGGATAGAGTGCTTTATCCTTAGTCAAGAAACTAAATATATTTTCAAGTAACTCCAGAAGAATAAGAGGGTGACTCATATTTGGTTTTTTATATAAGCACAGATAGTACAAAAGGTTAAAAATTCATTGTATCTCTGAAATCTCGATCTGGTTAGGTAGAATGTTTATTATCTTTTAACCTTTCTATTTTCTTTTCTAGATCAAGAGGAGTGTCCTATCGAAGTAAGAAAAGACTCAGATCTGGGTTTATTCAGATCTATAACTATAAACTCTTTTTGCCTCAAATAGCCGTCAATAATTTTTGAAGCTTTTCGTGAATCTACATCAGTGTAAGGACTTATAATATCTGCAAGTTTTTGAATAAAGCCCCCCACCATTAAAGAGAACAATGTGAGTAGCATTTTCGCGAATATTTATTTGGATTTTGTGAAATTTCTGAGCAACATAAATTAAGGAAATATTCTCATAATGACCTCAAGTGAAAAATGAAATAATTTTTTTCTGTATAGCTGGAGGGTCAGAGTAAAGATCTTCAAATATCGCTAATGTATTTCTTTAGCATTAAATTTTTTGGGATCTGGGATTTTATCAGAAGATAGTGAAGAAAATGTGACATCTTCATAATAAAGCTTTGATTTGTCTTGGGCAAGATATTTATAAAAATCTCGAACTATTTTATATTTTGGCTCATTTAAATGATGTCTGAAAAGAAATATATCATCGCATTTAATATTGCATTCCCCTATCTTAGAATGCTTTTTCTTCTTAAACATGTAATAAAATTTGGGAATTGTTAGCAAGTTTAAATTCATATTGGTCTTATCTGAATTGCTAGCCCCTGCTATCACAATACGAAAAGGCCATGCTGGTGCATCTTTATCTTCCTGATATTTTTTCGAAGGTTTAACTTCATCTACATTAAATATACAATATAACATCTTTTTATTGTAAACTAATCTATATTGCATTTTTATTTCTATACAATAAATATGTCATGGCATATAGCTCAAGGGTATCTGATATCAATATGTAGATTGCTACTTGAGTATATTTCATTATTTGCTCTTACGAAACTTGTTTCCATATAATTATATAATTATACTAATAACATTAAGATTGGAATTAGTTAAGTATCCCTTCTTTTCCAACGCATATCGAATATATGCTTTAATATCTGAATCATACGGAATTTCAATAAGATCTATGCATTCTTTTTTACATATTTCCCGCTTTTTTGATCTCTGATTTTTTGTTGTTCCAAGTCTATCTGACTTCGCTTATAGAACATTGCATTCTGGTGATAATGTTGTATGCCCTGGAATTCGAATGCCAATTTTAATTCTTCGTTATATCCATCGAGCCTTAGTCTATCCAAAAATTTATCTAAGTATAGTGGAAATTTCTTATCTAATAAATCCTCAAAAATGTATCTATAGCATCGCTCATTCTTATTGTGAAAACAAAGTAGACACCACTCAAATTTCGTTGCAATCAATAAAAACGGGTACTCAAACTGATGCAGTCTATTTTCACAAGTCCAGAGGAATACATTCTGATTATTTATTCACCTAGTTTTAGC